GTATAGCCTTTAAGGATATAGGTACTGTACAACAATCAAATTGCTGGAGTATGTTGAGAGAAAAAGCTCTCAGTTTTTATACTATTATTGTTTATCACATATAATAAGTACGGCAAACAACAATTTGACATCAAAAATAAATACAGAATGTAATTACTCTAAATAACCTATTTATTTCCAGAGATAAAGGCATCATTGACAAAATTAACAGGTATGTAACAATGTTTGTATTGTGCTCTAAATTCCCTAACCATTGCAGCTTGATCTAATACAAAGAGAAAACAAAACCACATAAGAAGGAACCTGCCACTGCGGAGGGAATGATGCATGGTAACTTAAAATGAAACCTAGGTGTACTTGCGGAAGAAGAGGTCATGTGTCTTACTAATTTTCTGTAAAAGCCGGATACATCTAATATTAAGGCTCAAATTACCTAAAAATTCAGAGCGTAATGAAATAAGAAAAACAAGAATTATTGAACAACAGTAGAAAATACAGAGTATTACAATCATATATAATGTTGTAATGAATTAATACCTATACAACTATATATTTTCCTGTGCAAATTAAATTTTACAGTCTTATGTTTCTGCCTGCAAGAGTTATAAGACAAAATATATGGGGTTAAAAATAAAGATATGTACATAGATTTATGACGGCAATAAAATAAAAGTTTGTACTTCTACAAATCACGGCTGCGCATTTTATTGCTGCACAGTAAAAAAAAAAAATTGTCAGGTGGGGTATGGAAAGTACTTTCTTATCCTACTATCAAAAGCATATAAGAATCTCAGAACGGAACACGGCCAGGGTCAAGCCTGTATCGGCTGATCCTTCATTTTCATTTAAAGCAGGCCTCAGTCACAGACACACAGCATGCGTGGTTTTTAATTTCCTGCCAAGGATTACTCTTCCGTAGAAAGAGCTGGAGTCCTGAATACTTTTAATTGTCCAAAGGGCCAATTAATAATAATAATAATAATAATAATAATAAAACAAGCATACTGTACACCACAAGTGAAAAAGCTAGCTGAATACTTATAAGCAAGGTTCATGTACTAATTGTGTTATTTAAGTAATTTAATTTGACTGATATCTTTGTTGTAAAGGTTGTGTCTTTGGTGCAAAGGTTATCATTATCCAGAAGAATTGATTCCATAATAATAAGGTATTACTGATTTTATCTTGTACCATCCATCCATTATGCATACTGCATATCTAGCACGGGATCATGGTGAGCTTGGAGCCTTTCCAAGGCCGAATAATGGGGAGGGCTGGGGACACCCTAGACAGGCTGCCAGCCGACTGCAGCACACATAATTATACAGTCGCTTGCTATGGGCAATTCACAGACCCCAATTCACCAAACCACATGTTTTTGGCCTGCGGGAGGAAATGGAGCACCCAGGGAAAACCCAGGCAGAGGAGGAGAACAAGCAAACTCCACACATACAGAGCCAAGGGCAGGAGTCAAACCACAACGCTGGAAGTACAAGGCTGCGGTGCTACACACTTACCTGTCATGCTGCACATATCATGTGCCAGTATAGGAAAATCTCTGCTTTAAATATGTATAAAGAATCTTTCGGCTAAATTACAAATGGTCCTTCACTACCGGTCTACTGGCAGTGCTCCATTGAAAAGAATTCCTGTTTTAAAACTGCTATCCATGCTGAGTTCTTCAATGGCAAGGATTCATTTATAATTAAGGCAAATCAAGCTCTTGACAGATGCTGTATGGTTTCCTATGTAATCTTATTCTATTTTGCATAGTTTATTTTTTCGACTAGTCCTAATCCTTGATCAGTAAGGCTGCAGCTTTCGATTCCACTAAACACTTATTCGTTAAAGTCTCGTATAACAGAGCTGACAAAGAAAACAGGTATCTATATTAAAGTGTTTAAAACACACAATTTCACTTATCCCAATATTACATAATTCAGTTCTTGAATTGCGTTGTTTGTTCTTCTTCTTCTTCATCTTCAATATTCGGAACTTAGATTTAGGAAGGATCTTTAAAAGGGATTTCTAATATATATTAAATTGAAACCTAGACTAAATAAAGCGGCAGGAATATGGATATTGGGGGTTTTCGCAATATTGAGAAATTGCAGTAGGATGTCTTTCTAAGATTACATAAGTTGTTCAGCTACAGCCTCTGGGGGAGCCATAAGCACTTGAACACCAAAAAGCCAATCTTAGTACCTTCTTCAAGCATCTATGCATCTACAGAAGAAGAAGAAGCCAGCAATTTCAGCTGCTGTGACTTTTTTGCACATAAAATGCTATGACTACAGGCATGCAAGGTTCCTTCACACAAACAAGAAGACTCCGCTCAGAAGGCACTAATATCAAATTTGAATCTGTGCTAATGGTTCCGTTACACTCTTTTTTTGTTACTCAACACAGAAAACAAGTTCTCCTTAGCTAATCTTAGTAGCATTAGTAGTGTGCATTGCTGGATTGTGTCAAGAACGGAACATCAACTAAATTCTAGCATTAAAAGTCTAAGACCAAATTTCAAAATGCAGCATCACTGATGAGCTTATGACAGCTCACAAACAGATCACACACACATACAGAGACGTAAAAGGCCTCAGAAATACATGATAGCTATAATTAATACATCATCCATCATTGGAAACACTCTTTCCATGTGATGTGATTTCAAATAGCCAAATAAGATAGCATATTATATTTCTACTAAACAAATTAATATACAAATATTAAATGAATAAACAAATCAATTCATAAATATTATTCACTATATACCACCAAAAACCCACAAAGATAAAAGAATGCACTTTCTACACTGAAAGCAGTGTCACTGACATCTGTCACAAAAGCAGCTTGATTCATAGCAATATAGAAATTTGTGATTGAATAATTATAGGTACATTTTTATTTTACAGATATGTGAAAAGGACAGCATGCCACATTTATGCAATATTAATATTTATTAGACTTACATGATGACAGCCAATTAAAGTGGCTCTTCATCAAATCTGTGACAGCGTATTAAAATCTTCCCAAATCAATGGATGTGTTAAACTGAGGTACTAGACATAGGCCTGGAAGATAGGCCCCAACCCAGTGCTGTATATTTCTGTTTATAGTCAGCTTTGCTATCAAACTTCTGCTGATGTGAGAGCTACAAGTCCATTATATCCATAAAAGTACATTTTACATGGACCATCCCTGCAGATGTTGCATAAACAACAAACCTGCATATAATCATAGTTATAAATACACTTCTTCCCCTTCTATGGACATGTTAAGCTCAGAAACCCCTTTCTGAGTATGTAAATGCAGAACATTTGAAAAGGAAAAGAATTTTCAGCCACATTTATCACAAACAAACCCGTTAATTTTAAGTTAATAACATCAATAACTCTTTCCTGTTGGTCGAAGTATCGCCCAGAATGATTTTATGCCAGTGAAATAAACATTCGAGTTTTCATACTTAATCATTAGGTGGCAGCAGTGTGCCACGTGTATCTTATATATTTGTAAGGATCAAAGAAATTGAACAGATGCCTGTTAGCAGACAAGTCATGGCTAGAAATATATAATTGATATGTCATTTCAGTGGTGATATAATGTAATTTAGGTAGTATATTGCTATATATACATATGTGTGTGTGCCAATAATTCATTTTCTTCTAAAAAGCAATTCTACTGTGTAAACAGCAGGGACTACGTATGCATTTGCATTTAACATTTTAAATGTTTTTTTTCTTCTTTCAATTTTACGTCACAAGGTACAGTACGTGCATCAAGTTCGCTAAATGTTTGAAATCATAGTTAATATATACGCCTGTACGTTATCCTTTATTACTACAATGAAACTCATCGATTTCCATCTGTGGCTCAGTCTCGCCTCTGAGGAATGTGATTGAATACGTAGTAATGCCAGTACTCATATTACATATTTATTTTTTGTGAGATGTAGCTGGACGGACGCATTTAGTTCAGAGACAAAGACGTGCTTATCCATAATACAAATAATTTCATGCAGCAAGTCAAATTAAATAAATCATTTTACTGAACTCAAAAGTACAGAAAAAAAATTGGGAGTCCAAAAATATATATGCTGGTATTCTAATATAACCCAGTCATTCATGGTTCCTTCTAAATTGGTGGAATATGTTTCATTTTCTGAGGCCTCAAACGAATCCATCCTCTTACAGGGTTATTTGTAGTCGGCTTGTATTTTCAGCACCGTCCATAACAGCAGTAGGCCTACGTGTTTTTTAAAATAATAATAATGATAATACACCGCTGTAACTAGAAAGACTGACAATTTACATTATCAGACCTGAATTTCACAAACGTTTTATTGTAATAAGCTGCCTCAGTCTCGGCGTTGTGAAAAAGAGACGGCGAAATCCATCTAACCCTTCCACAGGTGCCTCCCAGGAAGCAATTATATTCTCCATTTCTGTAAATGTCATTCACTGTGCCTCCACACATATAACATACCGACATTAGGACACATAGGCCTATTATTCATTTTAATAAACATGCTTGATATACCTAACATACTTCAACTCAGTTAAACTGGTAATAATGTTGAAATTATATAGTCCTGAGTCGTGAGTAAGACTAGTGTAGGTGCATTTAGTGCCTCTACTGCATGGGGAAATTGTCCTAGATAAAACCTTAATGTGTCATATTTTGGGTCAGCGTTTTAAATAACGTGGGCTCTGTGAATAAGTCTATTAAATTACATGGATCTGCGCGTAAAATTCAAGTCGCAAATCTTCATGCACGGTTGCCCACCTTGGCGTGAAATCACTAAGAATTATTTACAATTACATGCTTGCTTCCCAACTGACTTTTGGTCAAAACACACATGAGTAAGCAGAACAGTAACTTTGCAGTAACTTTCCTTGCGAGCCACATCAGCTTTTATCTAAATGAATCGCTGCACTGGAATCGAGAAGTTTGCACAACGCCCTACAAGTATAATGAAAAGAGAGTAAGAGGAAAGCGCGCACCTGTACCAATCGAGTCCTTTTTCGTAGTTCCTATCAAAGAAATGGGGCTCAACACCAACCGCCCTGACGTCGGGATGCACCCTCAAGGCTTCCAGCAGAGCTCTCGTGCCTCCTTTCTTCACCCCTATTATGATGGCTTGGGGCAATTTTTTCACTCCGTAATCCGGGGTGCAGTTCACCCTTCTGCTGAGATCGTCGTCTATGGTGCTGGACTCCTGGTGCTCTCTTCCTGAAACTGCGTTCAGACCCCCCGCGATCATTTCGGTATGAGCAAGCGGAGTCCCGACCCACTCCGTTTCTCTGCGCTTGCTTTCGGCATCTTCTGAATGGTCAACAGTGGACACCACATACCCGGTAACCGTCTGCACAGTGGAGGTCTTATATATTAGATCTTCGTCGATATAAGCATGGGTTGTGGTGGAATAAAGTTTCTCTCTAAACGCGACGGAAGTTGTCTCTTCAGTCACCACCCTTGCTTGGTACACATGGTTTTCCTGCAAGGGGAACTGCAACGAGTTGTAACAGCTCATCAAGCTATAAAACAAGTAAGTAACAGAGAGGGAGAGAGTAAACATGAACAGGATCTTCCGAGGCACTTTAGAGGTAAAAGCTGAAGTGCTGGACCAAAATGCCATCTCTGATAGCAGTGATCCTCACAGAGAAGTGGCTAGACATGTTTTCACCTAAAGTCTCGCATGAACCCTCAACAATAATAATCTGTCACTATCAGCACTGCTCCGGCTGAATCTGCAAGTAACTAAACCACTCACCTTAAAATAAGAAAGAAAAAAAAAAAAAAAAGAACAACTAGAATCCCAATTAGAAAAGGATGGGTGGGGGGTCGTTAAGATTTTATAAGAATATTCCCTCGCATTCTTGAATATCGATTTTTGATTTCAGTGTTGACAGCCGTTGTCACAATTTATACAACCGGACCTTTAGACTGCAAAGGCTGGGATTTTTCATCCCTCCAAATGAGCAGCTTGACCGGTATCGGACACACCGTGCTGAAGGAAGCCTTGACATTTTAAAAGGAAAAAAATAAGTCGTAGAAGTACTGGCCAAGGCACGTCTTCATTTTCCGCACGTCCCACGCAGCCCCCTCGTCTCTTTCTTACTACAGCACGGAATGATGCTTTGGCTTCAACGTGACCAATCCCTGCCCACCGGAGCCCGAATCCCAAATACGGTGCTGGAAATCTCGTGGTCCAGAGTCGCTGACAGGCGTCCTTCCTTTGATAATCCCCTAACTTTATGAGTATAAAAGTGAGCGGCTTGCGTATTAATATTCATTCAGTCTCTCCACTAGTTGGAGGGTTGCCTGCGGGACTGACGCTTTTTGTTGATTGGTAGACAAGATATGCGCATCAGCTATGTGAGCTCATTAGAGCAGCGGCGCTACATCAGAAAGAAGCAGCTCACACTCTCACGCCTTCTGCTATATCACGCTTTTAGACAGTTGCAGTACATGAAAATCAAACTGAGAAAGCTGGGAACGCATCTTGCCTACAATAAACGTTTGAGTGCCATGAATGTATACAAATATAGGTCTAGACACTTAGGATAACTCAAGTTATAGGTCAATATATACTGTAAATGATATATATTTTCATAAAGCTATATGTTACGAACAATTAATAATGTTGTACTTAGAAAATAAATTCACGTGAAATGATTTTTAATGTTCGCTTACTTGAATAGAAAATTTCATATTATTATTATTATTATTATTATTATTATTATTATTATTATTACTATTATTATTATTATTATTACCCATCTCCTTCGAAGTGTAATTGTTACTCGGCTGAAACGGGACACCAAATGCCTTTAATACCAAGCAGAGTAACCTGAAGCTCACTTCTGCACTCTGCTGGTGACAAATACATTTTAAATGAATAATGTGTCATCTCCCAACGATTTGGTTGTTTATGTGATTGTATCGGTTAATTGTTTTTTTCTCACGATTATAATATGCAGCCCGTGAACCAAAAGCAATTTCGTATTTTTATATTTTGTACAACGATAAAGTAATTATGGAATGGGTTGTATCAGTGACTGAGGTCAAAGTGAAATGATGAAATTGCCTGTGGAAGTAGAATTTCTATTTTGAATACACAAACGAAGGTATAGTATATAAAGTTATGTTGCGTATAACGTTAAATATACTTAATACATAACCTATGGATAAAAACTATTATTCTATATTAAATTACCTTAAGTATTAAGGTGAAATTCACTTCCACATATATGTTCGTTCAGACAGTAGCTCGTTACATTTTTTTAATCCACCCACATAATTTCCCAGCCATTAAATGATAATTGCACTTGGATAAATTATTATATGGAATGTCATTTTAAAAGCACTTAACACAGACTCGTCTTTTTAAATGTATTCACTTCAGTTTTTTTCTTTCTCTAATCACTTTTTTCCTCCTGCATTACGTGCATCAACAGCAAATGAAAGCTATTCAGGAATGCTTAAGAGCTCATTTTCACCCACTGTTTTGCAGCAATATTCATGATTCATCCCAAAGTCTGGAGTTGTAATTATAAGCAATTTGTTTATGCAGCAACAAAGAATAGGTTGGCCAGAACCAATCCAGGGAATTATGTAACCACGTTAAGTGTTTAAGACAAAATGTTTTATTTTCTATTCTTTTTTAAATCAAATATTTGTTACCTATGTATGATTTCTTTAAAATGTATAGCCCCGCAGTGGTAATGTAATACTGGACTTGTCTATTCCATTGTCGATCATTTCTTTTTTCTTAAATAAGCCAAAACAATGAAAGTCTACAGTGGGCAACATTTTTATAATCATGAAACTGGTTTAAGGTGTTATAAGGAGCCTTTATTCTTAAGCAAGATACTTACTGGTTGATAAATAAACAGATATGTACGATGTAAATACCTTCAGATAAAAGCGCTTGGCTCAGTACCAGTCCTATAGCTGATGTGGTGGGCATCACCACCGGCGCCCACACTCAGAAGTTAGCACCCTTGGCAGGCGCCTGTGTAATCTATAGGATTGTTCTGCCTTCACTTAGTAATGACACATGTGGTTTGTTCATGTTTATGTATGTTAAATGCCTGATTTCTTCCTTACAGACTCAATATGAACATAGATACTACAGGTTGTATTATTGGGTTAAATATATACAGTGCTCATCAATGTACTTCCTGACTCCTGGGCTTTATTGGTTATATTACTTACATAGCTGGTACTTTGACTTGATAGTACTTGCCATGCCATCAGTAATAGTCAGTGGCTAACAGTGAGGCAGTATCACAAAATGAAGTGAGCTGAAAGCCAGTGCTTGTTGATGCCCAAGCAGTGCTTTCTGTGTGTTTGGGGAGTTTGCATGATCTCCCTGTGTTTATGTGGGTTTCCTCAGGGTAACGTCAGTTTTCTCTCACACGGACATGTGGTTAGCCGAGTAGGTGACTCTAAGTTGTCTTTAGTATGCAAGTGTGTGTGTCCCCTGCCGAGTGGCCAATTTTATTTATTTATTTATTTTTCTGGGAAAGGGTCCAAGCATTACTCGATTAGCTGTTCTGGAAGATGGAGGGATGGAAACAGAACCGCTAGCTGCCATAAATCAATTAAATTACCAGAAGTAAAATATAATTAAACTAAAAGTTAGAATAAAGAAATTTAATACTGTTTAATAAATCAGCCACAAATCCTGTACCTTAACTTTTAACTCCCCTGTGTCAGTTGCAAAGTGTTGAGTGATCAGCGTCAAACAGCATTCTCTCTGGAAAAAACAAACAAACAAAAAATCCCAAGAGAAAACAATGAAGCAGATATCACAGAATAATTAAGCTCATATATCTTTATATACTGCATTGAAAGTAATGAACATGAACTAGCAAACATTCAGCTGAGAAAGAATTAATTTCTGTAACCAAGTTTTATGTACAGTATAATTATTTACAATATATTCATCCATACACCGCATCCTTATATAAAGGCATGGGCACTTTGCAACATGGTAGTAGATTATTGGTTAACATTAGATCATCTTCAGTTTCATTATGGTTAATGTCTGTGAAGTCAGATTCATCTGGTTGATTGGGGTAAATGATATGCAAACTCATGAAAAAGGAGGTATTTCACTGCTTTTGTTAAAGAGAGCTGATTTAATTTAAGTGCAGTTTCATTTTGAGGTTTCTCAGCAGGTAGCACTGTTACCTCATACCTCTGGGATTAGGGGGTAAAATGTGGAAGAACAATTTGAAAGAAGGCAGGAGAATAATATAACAATGGTACTGATGAGCAAACGAATCAGCTTTGTATATACTGTACATGTCGTGAAGTTTATTGATTTGAAATATATCGTAGAGTTGATTGATATACTAAATGTTACGAGACTAAGATGATAAAACACATAGGAGTGCTTCGGCAAGAATGATAAAAGCGGCTGAGATTGCTAAATAGTCTGTACAAGTCTGTGAAACAGAGTGTGGAAAACAGAAGAAAGGTCAACAGAAGGACAAGATCGATCTTTAGATAACATTCTGGGTCCAGAGACAGAAGTTATGCAAAAGTCCGGTTCTTTGGAGAAATTGGGAAACATTTCAAAATATGCTTAGAAAAGTTAAAAAGTCAAGAGGTGATCCAGAGTGTATGTTGACCTTGGAAGTACCAAATAATTGGGGAGTCAATATCATATTAACTGAAGTAAGCAATTTAGTTGCTAAGGGGAACAAAGCCATGACATGAAGGTGAAATCATTTTTGACCAATCAAACTGAAATGTGTCTCGCAATCAAAGAAACCACCCTCCTGTTTTTTGATATTTCTTCATTGTTAACCTGTTGAGATCCGATTTCTCCAGCACACAGATCCCTCCTCTGCGCTCTCTGTGTAGGGTTTCCATGATGTGCCCCCTTGTTTTCATTCAGGCTTCCTTCTGCAGTCCAATGACAGGCAGTTGAGTCTATCCTGGGACAGACCTTAGCCTTCCCTCTCCTCCCATGACTCATACTGGACAAGCAGTTGGAAGATAGATGAATGTTTTTCATTATAATAATAATTATTAGTAGTAGTATTAGTATTATTGTTACTACTATTATTATTATTATTATTATTAGTGGTAGTAGTAGTAGTAGTAGTATTACCTCGCAACAATTGTTTAGTTGTTGTATTTTCTAAGGTAGAACATTGTCCCTACAGTATATCCCATTGTTATGCAGATATAGAAGGACCTCCTGGGGTATGGCCAACAGGATTGAAGCATCATATGTTGTGAATATTAAATAATACAGTTAAGCTATAGATTTTTGCCACATGCTGGTTGTTTTCTATGACTTAAACGACTCCTAGTTTGTCTGCAAAAATAGATCAAAAACCATTCTTTGAATACTATTAAGTGAGCAACACCATGACACAAAATACTATACCTGTACCTACTTTATATGTAGGGGACACTGGGTATGGTTGTAACATGGGGAGAGTTGTAACTCCACCAATTTTACCAATCAGGGATAAGATAGGAGTCATATGATCATTTCAGTGTTTACCCGCTTGATCCCCGATCCCACAAGGTGGTTTTCAAGGCAGGAAAGAAGCACATACAGAGTCTATAGAGAAAAAACTGATTTTGAGATACTGTAAGAAAGTACATATTTTGATCAAGACCAAATTTTGTTTAGAGCTTATTCTATTGCATATAATCATATGACATATTACATTAAATCGTTGTTCTTAGGCAATATCAAACCACTATCATAATACAGCTAAAGAGGAAGAAGAGAGAGTCTGAAATCCTCACTGATGCACCAGTGAAGCAAGCATTGATGGAAGAAGAACAGAGAAGAGCATGCAAAAGTACTGTATGAAAGAATGAAGACAAGCAACAGATAAAAGGGAGAAAACCCACAAAGAGAACATTCACAGCCAACGCTGAGGTTTCTGAGATCTCAGATGAAGAAAACTTGTGTATTGTGTGCATGGAGCCGTTGGACACCTGGAAGCCAAAGGACGTGTGGCTAAAATGTGCCCTATGCAGGGTCTGGGTCCACCAAGCCGGCACGCCAGGGTTACCATGTTTATTTCTCACCATTGTGACTCTAATTAGGAATATACACTCACATACACACTCCTTAGTCAAACAGAATGTGGATTTGAGTAATGGCTTGTCACAGAGATAGAGACATTGTTCTGGATTGTTCTTTCATTTCAGTAAACCTCTTTTTGAAGCATAACACATGGTGTGGCCTCTGG